ATTTTCATTGTTAAACCTCAACTGAATGTAAGAAAACGCCACAATCTATAAGTGATTTAACCGAACTGTAGAGAATATGCCATTTGAGCAGGAAGGTGGAATCCACAAATGCCAGGCCACTTTGTAAGACCACCGTGACAGGCTTCTGTTCTCGAGAAAATGATTTTGAAAAATACATTTGGAATAAAAGCTAAGGAGAGAGAGAAACAAAAACTAAGGAGGAAGAATGGGAGAGTGGTAAAGAAAGGGAATAGTGTATTAAGGAGGCAGATTGGAACCATTCTTGTGAGTTGCAACTAGAGAGCTAAACAATATTTTATTTTTCATGCATATAGATTAGCTGTAAGTGTTGGTGCCATTAGAATTTATTTTCTGGGGGAATATTTTCCTTTTCTATCCATTGACCTTCAGTCTAGGAAAAGAGAAAGATGAAATTTTTTCTAGGTTTTTTAAACATTGGAGATAATTCTACTGCTCAAAATGTAGGCATTTGCAGGGATGTTTAAGATCATCCCAATGTATTCTGGTTGGTTGGATTTAACGGTGCCAGGTATTTTCAGTAGTAAAGTAAATATTTCCCAAACACTGCCTTCGTGGAAGTTATCAGGTTGCTTCCACTGTGCAATGTGTAAAGTTTTCGCTCTGGCCAAGAGCTTGGAGCCAAATGGGGGTTTGCCAGATGAAAACAGAAGAAAAGAAACAACTGTGGTGATTGCTGTTCCAGCAGTGAACACTTCACCACATCTGGGCTAGTGAACTAAAGAAAACTGAAACCCTCTCTATTACTCACCAAGACAATTATGTGTCTCTTCAAGAAAAGCTTTTTATTGTATTTTAGATTAAAAACACGTGATATATCTTGGAAACAGTCAGCTTCAATAATCACAGACACCTCTTAGCTAGCCTTTAAAAGAAAACGGAACCTGCTGAAGTTATTGCTTTAGAGTGCTTACTTCTTTATCCTGAGAATTCCCATCTTTAGGCCTCGCACACAATCCTGCTCAAAAATCATGTATGATCGTAATGTAAATTTCAATCCTATGCCTGGGTTGTGTTTGCTATTTTAAACTACTCCAAGGAAATTGCCCCCAAACAATGAATTGGTCAAATGACTGATAAGAGTGTTGGTCCTCTGAAATCCTATGCCTAGTGTAGGTGGGGGGAAGCCCTCCAGTGCCATCACCAAGCATTTTGAAATTCAGCCATTCCCGTGTTAGCTCTCTAGATAGAGAACAGTCTCGGGACTCTCGCTCTAAAGAACAAAGGACAAATACAGTCAATACATTCCATAAAGTTTACATTTCCTTTGCTTTTCCCTCTGGGTTTTCCCTGAGAAGGAGTGACCTGGGCAAAGCACCCTGCTCTCTAAAAGACACTGTATAGACCTTTTAGAAGCGCAAAGTCCAAGGCCGAGGTGAACTTCAGGTCAGCGCGTCTAACAAATATGAAAATGTCGGCTGGTGAAGGGCGCGCCTTGTGATTTAACAAAGACTGTCAATGTGTAAGATTAATAAGAAACAAAATGCACACGGTGTCACTGTTCGGTCACTTTGAAACTTGGGACAGGGTTGCATTCAAGAGGGAAGGCTGTTCCAAATATATTCAAAATGATTCAAATCAGATTCAAACCAGGCTGCAAACGCTGCCTCCCTCTCGCCCTCCCTCTCCCTCAGACTCCCTTCGCGCTCCTTCTCCATCTGGGATGCGAGGACATGAAGAAAAGTTATTTCACTTAATGGGATTTTAAAGAAAGCTTTTGTTGGAAATATGTTATCCCTGCACGTGGAAATGAGCTAATGTGCTTACTGGTTTCCCAAGGAAAGGATAACGCTTTCACCCCGCTTGGGACTGGAGCCAGTTGGTGTGCGAAGATTAGCACGCTGTCTCTCTGCTCGATTTCAGGGCATCCCATCTCTTCTCGGGCGAGATGCTGCTGGTAAACTTCAGTTCGTTTATCAATTGAGTTAGTTTCTCTCTGGCATTACTTTTGGTGTCTCGGGTCTTATGTGAAGGCAAGAGGTTTTTTGTTTTTTTTTTAATGTTTTTCAAAAGGTTATTTGATTCAAAGGAATGATCCTATGGCTTGCAAGGGGAGATTGTAGAAGGATGAGAAAAGGTACTGAGATTGTTTATTACACCCATAAATCTTGCAGTAAAATGTCAAAATGTCGGTGTGTAAGATAACACTTGGTGGTCCTGGCTCCGTTTGTGTTTATGATACGAACCACAAAGACAAGTTACAGGCCTTGGGGGATTCTGTGTAAGCCCATCTTCCTAAAGTAATAGAACCACATGAAACACAAGCGCAGTTAACTCGTTTAGGTTAGGCATATACAAAACAGTCTCAGTGCCTTGTTAATACTTAAAAATAGAAACTTGGTAGAAGGTTCTGAGGTTAAACAACATGTATTTTGTATTTTATTGTCCGTAAATAATATTAAACAGACATGGTTTAGCCCTAGTACTCAAGGGTAATGACATGAGGGCAAGATTTCCTTGTCATTTTTCTCCCCCTGATGTTTAGAGATCCCAGATTTGTAATATATATCATAATATATTGTATAATATAGGTACACATTTACATTATATACTATATATGTATATATTATTTTTTTCTTGCTGTGGAGAGATACTGGTTTCGGCAGCTGTATCATAGACTAGATTTTTCTTCTGAGTCTCGAGAGGATGTCTAAAGATTATACTCAGCATTGATTTCTGTCTGCAGCTCAGATTTCATTAAAAACAAAAATTTCAGGGTGCCTCACATCAATGGACAGCACTCTACACACACACACACACACACTGTGCAAAACCTCTTTGTACCACTTCAGGGCTATTCTAGTTAGAAAGCTAACACGATCCCTTTTTTAACCTCTTTTCCTAAATTAGTTTAAAGATTAGTCCCATATAATAGGCTTTATGTGGCTAAACATTAAATGACTATCCATCAAATGGATATATTCCAGCATTTAGTAACTCATATGAGTAACTGATATAAATGAAGATAGGATTGACATTGCTTTTGAAGTGTCTCCAGGCTTAGGCTATAACTTTCCTTGTCTGCTTCCAGACTCAGTTGTGAGAAGGCTGTTTATACTGCTCTTTAAAAAATCAACGAGGTGCACCAGCTGAACAATCCTTGCTTTGCATGGTAATATGGAAGCATTTTTAGAATGGTGACTACGCTAGTTTGCATTGCTTTAATCTAGGCTGAAAAGTAGAGAATCTAGGTGTGTCCGTGACTCAGAAAAGGAAAGTACGCAGCACGAATAAGGCATCAGTATTTACTTCAAAGATCAACATTAGGTGGAATTAATAAGTAATTTATTTATTAATAATGGAGTAATTAGTTTACCCATCAAACTTCAATTACCAAATGGCAGGCAACAGTCCCTTCTCTCCTCTTTCCGGAGCTACTGATATCGTTAATATGCTAATTTTCAGCAATTCAGAAATTATAGACTGTCCTGCAAACATAACTCTAGACTGAGAAACCAGCACCCAAAAGAAAACATAAAATTCCTAGCTTGAAAAGACCTGCTGGCGACCAGGCCCAGCACAGTATTTAGTCTATCCTTTGCTTGTTTGGGGGGATTGTTCTGAAATAGGAAGCTGTTGATTCAAAGCTCGATTTTGTGGAGTCTTCGTTTCCATCCATTCCCGCCCTTGGGCCACCTTCTCTCTCACAATGGCACCTCGTAAGCGCGGGCATGTTCAGCTCTGACATCGACACCTCCATCAAATGAGATGCTATTAATCAGAGTCAACATTTTTAAGAAAAAACGTTCTATTTTTAAAAGAAAATAAAAGTGCCCACCCGGTTACGTTGAAATTGCCTCGCTTTCCATGCTAGGGCCAATTTCTCTCAGCTTGGCACCCACCCAGCCGTTGGGGCGCCTGCCTGGTTTCTCAACGAAGGAGCTCTCAGACGTGGGGAGCAGGGTGTAGGGAAGGGGATCTGTGGGTGAGAAAACCGGTCTGTTGGCCTCATTCGTTTTATTCCGGGCCCAGGATAAAAATCAGGATGTCCCCTTGGGCGTCTTTCCTCCCCCAGCCGGCCTCGAACCCTGGAGGACACCAAGCAAGAATGGGCTGGGCCCGAGGTCAGTGTTGGGCCGCGGCCGGCCGTAAGGCTGCCCCGGGGCCTAGGACAGGGACAGGGCACGCATAGGGCACAGCCAGGGCGTCCAAGGAGACCTGCAGCTGGGCGGACCTCGAATTCCTAGTGGTACTCAAAGTTGGGGGGCTGGGGTACCAAAGCGCTTGCTCCTTCTCACTGCCCCCGGCGGGGCAGCAGTATCAATCACCCGCCCGCGCGCTTCCTGATCCGGGTCCGCGCGCGCGGTGCGCCCATTG